GATCGATTGATTGATTGATTGAATGATTAACTGTTGCTTGAGTAAGAACCAGGCGCTTCCCGTTTTTACTTCGGTTCCAATCAACTCCCTCTTTAATTCGTCTTCTCTCTGCACATCCTCTAGGTCAGACCTCTAAGACGAGCAGGCTTCCATCTTCAGTCGTAACCTTGCCTTCTCCCACTGTCAGCCAGTCTACCCAGGTCGGCACCTCAACGCTCGCTCAGTCTTTCTCCAAGAAAACTGTCTCAGTTATGACATATCTTGTAGGGTCCCTGACAGTATCCACAAGTAATTCCAGCTCGACGTCGTCTCCTCCAGTAAACACTACATCTGCCGTTTCACCTGCCACGCCCACGACTGCTCAGCCTACTGCTCCAACTTTGCCACCAGGAGGAACCAAAGTTGTCAACATGGAGGTCTCCTTCGACATTGTATTTAAAGAGGAATACAGAGATACAGGCAGTCCAGAGTACGAGGAACTGAAAAATAATCTGACAACGAGCTTGGTAAAAGTTTACAAAAACGTCGACGGTTTTGTTGGCGTGCGCATCCTGTTTATAACAGAAGGAAGTGTAGTATGCAATTACATCGTCATCTTGGCAAAGGACTCAAAAGTAAAGGAGAGCGAGTTGAAGGAAAAGCTACAGCAGGCAAGCAACGCAGGAGAAGTAGTCAAGGTGAAGAGTATAAAGGTTAAAGAGGATGACTCGGAGGAAACTGAAGAGAAGCTGCCAAAATGGGCATTGGTGGTCATGATTGTCCTGGGATGTCTGTCAGCAGTTTTCCTTGTCACTGTGATATACGTCTGTGTAAGTATATCTTTTTGCTCTTTTTTTACTGCTAGATGAACTCCCTTGCGATCACAACTAAAGGCCCTTTTCTCGAAAGCCCCGGAAACTTTTCAGGCCAACAAAGCCATTTTTAATTAATCTGTATCTGAAAACTGAAATTTGTACACGCCTGAAACTTCTTGTATGAAGGGAACCTCTGTTGATATTAAGAATATGTGAACAAAACAGCTCTGTAATCATAAGGTTTGCGATTTTGCTATAGTTTTCCGGTTGCAAAAACATTTCGGGACCCTCCAGAAACGGGCCCCAGGTCCGAAATGTAGAGAAACTGTAGAGAAACTCGGATATTTTGGTATTACATAAAGTACATGTATAAAGGGGCTCTGTCTTCCTAACCTGAACCACGTACTCTCCGTGTTTTTCGATCACAGGTTAAATACAGGAGGTCTATCTATGGAAACAGTGAGGCGTACCTGGTGTCAACCGGAGAAATTGGATTGGTACACACGTACGATACAGTGTCGATAGGTGACAATAAAACAGGAGCCAATCAGAGAACTGCTCAGAAACCAGCTGCTGAGAGACGAGTTATTGGATCACACACCAATCCTGTGAGTTTCATGTCGAAGAAATGATCGCTGTTCAATTGAATACGCTCAAATTTTTATAAGAATATATTTACAAGAATATCAAGGCTTAAATTTAGGAAATTTAGGAATATTTTAAGGATAAATCCGAGGTTGAGATTTTGAAAGGAATATAATTTTGGGTGTTGAAAAATTGTAACTTTGATACAATTATAGTTTTGAACTAAACCGTATAAAATTCTTCATTTCTCTAAACGGCAAAACTAGCCAAAAAGCAACAAAAACAGCACTAGTCGTATGTGCGATGCTGATAACATTTCTGTAAAACGTTATGTGCGCCATATATAATTATCAGGCTTTAAAGCCTGCAATCTGGTTCCAAAATTTCTTTAACACCATCCGGACACCAAATACATTCGAAAACAGAGATATCATATGCTAGAACTAAGACTACTCACAAGATTTTTAGCCTAAAATTCCTCAAAAAATTGAATACTCAGCCTCAGCTGGTAAAACAATATTCTTTTAAAAAAGGAAGAGTGCGGCTAGAGACTGAGTAATGTGAACCTTGAAACAAACGATATCAATAAGTCTCTTGCACACTACTTCATTAATCTCTGTCTTTAGCACTCTTCCTCTCCCTCCGCCATGAGAAGTCTAGACAGGAACTAAGCCGCCTTGTGTTTGCGGAGAGCTTGTACTGTACAGTCGAAAATTTCCTTACAGAGAGCTCCAATACGTAAGGACACCTCCATATTACAAGCAGATCACTTGATCACTGCTTGGAAATCGCCTGAAATCATACGTTCTCTTCCTCTATAAGACTCTAAAATACAAACGTATATCCAGAATTAATAGGACACTCGTATCTGTAGAATCTAGTTCATTAAACATTCTGTTCGAGTTTGAGAATTATGACTTTGTGCAAAATTATGGAAAATCAATTTCACATTACTTTTTTATCACGTCCAGGGATACTTTGCAAAAAAACATCTAATGAGAGTACTGCTCAACTCTGAAGTTTACGGCGTTTATGACCCAGGGTAATATGGTAAAACGCGCCTCTGAGTCGTGCAATTAAATGAAAGAACTGAATTCGATTCTTCCTTTCTTTTTCAGGCCTATGGCTCGAACGTTGCTCTTGCTGACTAAGAAAACCCGTCAAGTCCGCGTCAGGCACAGGAAGTCTGCATGGAATACAGTTTGCTTCAACGTGGTTCATGCAGTAGATAATAGACTGATAGATTTCATATCTAGTATATGCCCTATATCTATTGCCTGACAGTTATATATAGCAATAATTTGGTCGCCTATACTAAACTGAATTTGTATGGTAGGGATATATTACTAAACGGCATCAACCTGACGGCGGATAGAAATTACACTTATGTAGGAGAATTCAGTGTATAGATGTCACACATTGAACATTATCAGAGTATTGGAATAAATTACCATCCTATCTCAAGAGTCAGGAAGGGGAGTAAAGGGACTCTAGAATTTACACCAACGGGGAAGCTCGTCATACATTGTCGTGTCTGTTACAGCTCCGTTCATCGCTACTCGACCCTGTTCGATTCAAAGTTTTCCACAGCAGATACCCATTATGATATGTATGTATACTAAGCCCAGCAGGGAAACAAAGCTGACTAGGTATCCACAAATGATCTTTAAAAATCTTAAACGCCCTAATGTCGCTGCTGTACGATTACTACCTCTTGTGCAGTTGGTAGTTGAGCTTCAGTGTACATCCATAGGTGGTTTTAAGTGCCCGCCCTTTTCAAAACTTCTGATGAGCATCTGAGCCGCCATTTATCTATGGATTCCCCGCCGGACTCTCCGCGCTCTCTCTCTGTATAATGTGTTGTTCGGTATTCTCCTTGGTCAACCATTAGAATATCATATATATATGATTTATAAATTAAGTCTAAAAATTAGAATTGACTTATTTGAAAAAATAGGACCCTTTAACAAGTGTTGTTATGCCTGTAATATGTATATTAATATATCGATGTACAATCAATTACCTATATTTCTAGAACTATTTGTTAATTACATATTTCTTTAAGGCACAGAAACTGGCAGAGCCGAGTTCCTTGACATGTGCATTTAGTTAAAAAAAAAAATTGAAAACTACGAGCTCTATGACTGTTTATTTCAGATCATCAGTGCTGCCAAGACCATACACCAGGCAGCCCGTGCATGACCGCGCCTTTTTCCCGCCATTATCAGTGCTTGCGGCGCGAAATCCGGGGTTAGGCCTTACGCATCAGTTATAATAAAAAAGATAGATGGTTTCGAATGCTTTTTGAAAATTTAAAACCAGCTTTATAAACTCTATTTCATAAGGCTAAAAATTGCTTGTATGATTTCTATTACGTATTGCCTACGGTTGTAAACAAATTTTGTAGCATAACAAATTAAAATAAAATGTTACGTTTGAATAGTCGTAATCAACAATTGTGTAGTAAATTGTGTAAAAAGACATTACAAGAAACCCTCCGCTGTTGCTGAAATGCCGCTTTATTGATGGAAACAATGTTGAAACAGAAACCGTGTAAAAAAAATTGACATTGAAAGTGAAGGATGATCATCGCAGTAAATTTTCCAATTTAAGCAATTGGAAAGAAGAAGCCTGAAAAAATCAGGGCTTCAACGGGATTCGAACCC